GTCGACCGCATGCTGGAGAGAAACTGTAATGAGGTGACAGTCAGCGCCTGCGCAGGCAATAGCGAAATCAACATAGAGTGATGACCAAATATTGGATGGAAGACTGAGGCCAAATCATTTAAAGCAAGGAGAAAAAGTGTTGTGCTCAGAACACATCCCTGGGGGACACCTTCAGCTTGGATAAAGTCTGGGGAGAGCACATTATTAACCCAAATACAGAAATGTCTGTCAGTTAAAAAGTTCTTAAGGAAGGATGGTAGATTGCCTCGGAGGCCTAAGGAGTGGGCTTGGGCCAAAATATTATACCTCCAAGTTGTGCCATATGCCTTCTCAAGGTCAAAAAATATGACAATAACTGAGTGGTTATTCGCAAAGGCATTACGAACATACGTATCCAAGGGGTCTATGGTAGAACGGCCCTTACGAAAGCCATATTGACGAGTGGAGAGGAGACTGTTGTGTCTCTAAATACCACACTAAACGTCTATTTACCAGGCATTCCATCACTTTGCAAACTGCACTGGTAAGAGCAATGGGACGATAGTTGGAGGCTTCATGTCCCGTAGTACCCGGTTTGTGGAAAGGGAGAACAATGGCAGATTTCCACAACTGTGGAAGGACTCCTTGTGACCAAATAAGATTGAAAAGGCGTAATAGGACTGCAAGGGCTGACTGATGTAAATGTTGTAGCATACGAATATGAATGTTGTCGGGCCCAGCTGCCGATGATCGGCAAGCTGAGAGAGTTGCCTCCAGTTCCTGAAGTTTAAAAGGTACATTTTACTGTTCTTCTCTGAGAGAAGAAAAGTCCAAGGGTGCTAACTCTCTGGCAGACTTTGAGGAAAGAAACAAGGGGCACAGATGGAGCCCCTGAGAAATATGGACCAGATGATTGCCAATTTCATTGGCAACATCTAGTGAGTTTGCTATATCAACACCGGGAACCCGAAGAACAGGAGCCAGGTCAGGAGAATATTTACCACTCAGTTTTCGTACATTTTTCCAGATTGCACTCAGAGGGAGCAGAGGTGATGGTGGAGACAATCTCACCAGCAAGGGTGTTTAGCCTCACGGATGATACAGCGAGCGATCCCACGCTTCTGTTTAAAATCAAGAAGTCTCTCTGTGGTTTTATTGTACCGGTACCTGCCCTATGCAGCGTGTTTCAAACGCACTGCACGAGCACAAGCAGGAGACCACCAAGGCATGCATTTCTGAGAATGCCTGCCCGAAGTTTGGGGTATAGAACGAGAAGCTGTGGTTAAAATGGAGGACGAGAAGAGGTGTAAAAGCTCATCAATGGAGGACGAAGAAGGAACCTCACTAAAAACAGTTAGTTGTGAGTAAAGGTTCAAATTTGCCTGATCAAATTACCAGTGTGGGTTACGAAGAGGTGGTGAATATGAAGGGGAAGTAAGAATGATTGGGAAATGATCGCCGTCATGTAAATCCGGGAGAACAGACCAGGTGAAGTCTAATGCAACGGAGGAAGAGCAGACAGAGAGATCGATGCAAGAGAGAGTATGAGTCCGAGGATCAAAATGGGTGCGAGTACCTGTATTTAAAACATGGAGGGGGTGAGTAGCAAGAAAAGCCTCTAACTGAATGCCACGGGAATCACAGTGAGACCCCCAGAGGAAATGATGGGATTTAAAATCGCCAAGTAACAGAAGTGGTGGCGGTAATGATGAAACAAGAAAGGCAATATCCGGGATAGATAATGTCAGAGAAGGAGAGAGATACAAAGAACAGAGTGTATACCACCTATGCAAGTTGATACGGGCTGCTGTGTAATGCAGCGAAGTACGAACAAATAGCTGATGGTACGGAATATCAGTGGGTAGAAGAAGGGCACTTTCATTAAAGATCCCATCAGGAAAAGGATCTGAAGAATACAATAAATTATAGCCTGAGATGGGATACATAACAGCAGAGTGTAATTTTGGTTCCTGTAAGCAAACACCAACAGGGGAAAACTGGGAGAGCAACATCTGAAGCTCACCCAGATTACCCCTGAGGCCGCAAATATTCCACTGTAAATAGGCAATGATTGGCAACGATAAAGATACCTGAAACCCACAGGTAAGGGTACCTATGGACTAGAGGGGTTAGAAAAGTCCACATGCAGAGGCAAAGGAAAACGTTCCAGCAGCGAAGGAACGGTGCTTTGTGAAGAAAGGGGTTGCGCAGATGGAGAAGAGGAAAGAGAAGGAACAGAGGGTGGATCAGTGTCCATTGATGGTTTGGTCTCTGCAATATATTCAGAGATTGCTTCAGGTGTTTCGGAGTTCAGAGACGTCGTATGTTAGACAATATTGGAGATGGAAGGAGGAGTTTGAGTAAAGATCGGAGCTGTAATGGACTGTACCAAGGTGGGGGAGGGGGGCAAAAGGGTGGAGGGAACAGGAAAAGTGTGGGAGGGGACAGAAAAGGCAGAAACTTTGGAGATGGCAGAAGAGGAAGAAACTTTGGAGGGGACAGGAGAGGAAGGCACAGTACGAGGAGGAGGATGAACCTCCACACTTGTAACAGAGCCAGTGAAAGGGGAAGACCCAGGTACAGAGACCGGGAAGGTAAAATGTGGAGGTGGATGAAGGGAAGGAGGGGTTAAAGGAGATTTTTTGGACTTCTGAGAAGTAGAGGGACGACTTGGAGGTGTCGTCGTACGAGGTCTTGTCGATACCGGGGTTTGTGAGGGAGAACACGAAGATATGAGGAGAGACTGAGGAGTTGAAGTAGGGAAGTCTGAGCCCAGGACAGCAAAAGAATTAGATACAGGAGTGACTATGGGACTGGCAACCACAGAGGAGGCTGCAGATGATGTGACCCCAGAAGTGGGGGGACACTTTGAAACACGAGAATAAGAAACACGGGGCAGTCTCTCTTGGAGGCGGAGATGAGAAACTGCCATAGCATAAGGGAGACCTTCTGCCTCTTTGGGGCAACGAATTTCCCGCTCATTTAAGTAGACCTGGCAACGGCGAGAGTACGAAGGGTGAGCCTCATGACAATTAAGGCAAGAGGGAGTTCGACTGCAAGACATATTAGAATGGTCATCGACACCACAGACTGGGCATTCGGCTATAGATCTGCAATATTTTGCTGGGTGGCCAAATCACCAGCAGTTCCTACATTGCTGCAGTGTAGGGATCACCTTCCGAACTTGCAACCAATGTCCTGCTACATAAACAGAGGATGGGAGTTCATGGCTGCCAAAAATTAAACGAGCCACATTGCTAGGGTGTCGTCTTCGCCCTCGGTACAGGGGCCTTAGGAATGTCCGAAGAGTGGCCAAAAGACGAGGCGAGGTCAGAACGGGGTGTGGTAACAATAAGAGGCCCGGGGGTAGCGGGGTCATGGATCAGGTACTCCATGGTTAGGTTACTTCTTTCTTTTTGTTTTTAAGAAAAAAAAATAAAAATAAAAAAAAAGAATAAAAAAAAGGGGGGACTGGGGAGGGATAGTTCCTAGGAGGAATGAAAGGGCCAGAAATCTCCCTCCGTGCCCAAGAGGACCTCAGCACCGCAAGTAGTGCAGATGCAGCATGGAACCCGTGCCATACCCTACCCTTCATGCCAGTAAACCAGCAATCTGGGATAGCAACCTCACATCTGCTGAGCTACCTCAGTGGACAAAAGAGAGGGCAGCCAGATATCCACCACAAAGCATACCTCCTTCGGCCACCACCCCCGGAATCTGAAAGGTGGCTTCCAGAGATACACCCATCGCCCGAAAGACACCCTCCGGGATACCGGAGAGGGATCGGGACATCCCCAGGCAATCTAGATTCCACGGCAAACTACACCACCGCCAAAAACCTCAGCAGAATGGTATGGACTCTGGTACCCTTTCCCCTACCTAGGAACTAGCGCGCCTGTGGGAAAAATCCCAAGGCCAAAAAAGGAAGGGCAAAAGGGAGGGGTGGGGAGGAGGAGGAGGAGGAGGAGGAAAGGAAAAAGGGGAGGATGGGATAGGGAAGGGGGGATTGGGGGGTAATTAGATTCGATCTGAGGAAGGAGACAGACAGGTCTAATTCCTGAGACCAAGAGCCTCTTCACCACGCCAAGGAGCCCCCCTTGAAGAGGTTTTAGAAACAAAGGGGGGGAGACATGGAGGAATAGCTCCTTGGAGGAAAAGAAGGTATGTAAATATCCCTCTGCGCCCAAGATCACCCCAGCACTGCAAGTAGTGCAGATGTGGCATGAAACCCGTGCCACACCCTACCCTTCTTGCAGATAAACCAGCACTCAAGGATAGCAACCTTTCATCCACCGAGCTACCTTGGTGGACAAGAGAGAGTGGCTGGACACCCGCCACAAAGCAAACCTCCTTCGGCCACCATCCCCCAGAATCTGACATGCAGGCCTCAGAGATACACCCATCACCCAAAAGACACTCGAAGCCATCCCTCGGGAGACTGGAGAGGAATCAGGACATCTCCAGGTGACCCAGATTCCACAGCAAACTACACCACTGCCATGGACCTCAATAGTGTGGGATGGAAATAGGTAGGGGATAGGCGAGGGATGGAGAGGAGGAGGAAAGGGAAAAAGGGGGATAGGGAGAATGGGATAGTGAAGGGGGGATTGGGGGGCAGTTAGGTTCGGTCTGAGGAAGGAGACCAAAAGGTCTAATTTCTCAGACCAAGAGCCTCTTCACTGCACCAAGGAGCTTCCCTTGAAAAGGTCCAAGTCTGCAATTTTGCCTGCCTTGAAAAGGGCTGTTAATGTGCATCAATATTCTGGCCTAAAGAGAACAAGCGATTTGAAGATAATAATAGGCATGGCATCCCTAGTTTTGAAGATTCACATTATCCATCCTATCATACTCCTAGCATATGTGATACAGTGAAAGTGAGATCCTCTGACATTATCACTTCCAGGTCCTTCACATTAGTTTTTCGCTCAATTGTGTGGTTGGAATTTTTATACTCTGATACAATTTTAATTTTCTCGAGTTTTCCATATCCGAGTAATTGAAATTTGTCTTCATTGAACTTCAGATTGTTTTCTGTGGCCCATTTAAAGATTTGGTTGATGTCCACTTGGAGACGTGCAGGGTCTTCGATGGATGACAGTAATGCAAATTAGGGTGTCATCCGCAAAGCAAGAAACGGGGTTGTGGCTTACAATTCTATGTCGGATATGAGGATGAAGAACAGGCTGGGAGCAAGTACTGTGCCTTGTGGAACAGAGCTGTAGCTGAAGTTTTGACAGTTAAGACTGAACCAATATAAGTCGCTATTAATAACTGATAACTGTCTAGAAAGTCCTCCAGCTCCAGCCCTAAACATCTTGCTGCTTGACGATTTCATTTTAATACATTTAAAGAGGAAAAACGTTGGGGATAATGTTATAGCAGTGATGACCCCAAGAGGCAGCACAGATGAAAATTTTAACACAAATGACCTGCTGAATCTCTAATAAATACACTAAGTCAGCAATTTGTGAAGCTGACGAGACTGGAAAATGCACCTGACCTTATTTTCAAAACAGTGATGACCTGGTACGAAATGTAACAGAAACGAAGACAATTTACATGACAATTTAATAGAAGTTCACAATTGTTTACACAAGGGACCTGACCAGCAAAATACAAATAGTTATGAAGATCCCTTCTCCAAATTTAACTTCAAGAATATCGACTGGCATTAAATAAATCGTCTTGTTGAAAAATGCTGGAAAGATGTCCTAAATGACATGGAACCAAGTGTCTAAAATCAACTCTGTGGCAAATGAAGTATGTTCAATGCACGTTCGAATAAGGAAAAATAATTGAAGATGTAAAATAGAGATATTCTCCCTCTACAGAGCTTTTTAAATGGGCTAAAACCATCTGAAATCTGTAATGAGACTTATTAGAGAAATGGAACATATTGATGTTAAATGAATCAAACAGTTCCCAGGAGAGACGAGAGCTAAAAGCTATAAATGAAATTGAAAGGAATCTCAAATATTTATCTTCATATCCGAAAAACAAGGGAAAACCACATCCAGTATCGAGCCCTTATGAGCTCTAGCTCAAGTTTCTTCAAAGTACCTATCATAACTCACGAAATCGTAATAAAAAGATTGTGAACAAAGTACGGTATGGATGGAGCTCGAACCCATATATTTATTGCCGCAGTGAGGCGCATGCTAACCTCCCTATGGTATATAGAAATATACCTAGTTAGATGATTATTAGAGTCAGCTTGGCGGGTTTTATAACTCACTCGTCATGGGTTCAAACACCAACCGTTCGCTGATTGGTTTACAATCCTGTTTTGATTTCTTGAGTAACAAACTTCCACTTACATTCAGTATACAATTTTTTTCCTTTGTATTCCTTAATAGTTATGTTTCTAGTTGCAGAGGTCAGTGCAGGTCAAGAGGACAACTAAAATGCCAGACACATGGGGTTGATAACGTTCTCTCTTATCAGTCATTAAAGATAAAAGAAGAAAATGGTCTTTTTCTATCTGGGTCTTTCCTTCATTTGGAAATAACGATATTGAAAATAAAATAGAACCACTTATAAGCATAGTAATTATTATAATCATAACTAAGCACTAAACCCAAAAGGAATTTATAAACATAGTGGATGATTATAGACATACAATTAAATAATTGTGATGTATAAATGTTTATCATTGTAGTATTGTTATTACCCAGCCAGTATAATATTTTTCTATCATTCTTTAACTGTACAGGTATGAAAGTAATTTTCTCAATTATATACTTTTTTTTTTCCTCCCAAACTTTTTTTTTTATAAAATTCATAGTTTGTTGTGTGTGAGAGAGGCGGGTTTATTCTGTTATGAAAGAAAACTGTCAAGAACAGCGTTTTTTCTTTATTGAATAAGTACAGCAACAAGAACCTGCGTCCCATTATGTTTCTTTGAATTAAAGGCCTTGGATTTAGGTCAAGGCATTGGCTTAATTAAGCCGATGGGAGAATTGGACATGCCTCGCATAGACCAGTAGGCCTGTTGCAGTGTTCCTTCTTTCTTATGTATGGCATCAAAATACTCAGTGATGTGATATATTAAACAAGATAAAACATCTAACAAAATAGTACAATGCTCTTAACTTCTGATCATCTACACAGTTCCATTATTTTTTTCTAATTAATAGTCGAGCTTCTCATGTTGCAATCTTGGTAACAATGTTGTGTGATGTGCAAATGTTCAAAATTTCAGGTTGATGCAAAGAGGCAGTAAAAAAGTTTACTCACGGGAATTGTGCAAAAATAAACTAATAAATTGATAACATAATTAAGCAATATTTACAAATCAAGGCTGTATATCAATAAGAATTGAAAAATAAAACTAGGATAAATATCGGTAAATTAAAACAAACACATTACTCTAGTATAAGTGAAGAATACAAAACAGAGTTATTGTAATATATATTAGTACCACGATTAGGACTAGAATATTTTAGACCTCTACTAAGATTTAACATTTTAGCACCTCCATTACAATTAACATTATCCTCCTTACACTGGATGTCTTTGGATAGGTCACAACTAACAATGTCTTCCATTATATCATTCAATGTCACATTACCTATGAATCTGTCAGACTTTTCAGGTCTTATAAATGTCATAACAATGTCTTGTTGCATCACTCTCACCTTCCAGCCAGAGTAGAAACATTGGACGTGTTTCTTTCCACCTGTTGTCTATGTTCACCCATCAGTAAAATGGGTACCTGGGTGTTAGTCGACTGGTGTGGGTCGCATCCTGGGACACTGACCTAATTTGCCCGAGATGCTCAGCATAACAAGTGGCTTTCTATGTAGTAGTATGTCATTGTTGTCAGCTAGGACTATACCATGTACATGTACTTGTAGTAAATAAAGATTATTATTATTATTATTATATTATTCTCGTGGACTTACCACTGGAACTTCCAGGTGGAGCAGGTATATTACTTTTTATAAATGAAAGCTAAACCAAGTGATATGTACAAAAGAAACTAAATGATGAATAATATAGCTTAAAAAAGATTATCTGTAAGAAAAAGAAAAAAAATCTGCAGCTAATAAAATACTAAATATAATGTATTAACTGAATTTATCAACAATTAACAGCAGTACAAAAGAACGAAATTTTAATAATGGAAATTTTAAATAATAACAAGAATCACCCTGTAACTAGACTATATACTTCATCTAGTATCTCACTGTACGCGTACAGTGGGTTTGAAGTGCTGAAATATACATTTTTACATTAAATTCAAAAAGTTCATTTGTTAGTAAATTAATTTTCAGCCTTTCTCAGCAAAACCTAGAGAATGCAGACTTGATGTTGTTGAGCTGCCAAGATTTGACGAAAGGTCTTGATAAGAAAATTTGTTGAAAGTCTGTAAAGAAAACATAAGACATTATTCCCAATAAAATAAAATTAATGTACTGTACATATGTGAGTATAGGTAGAGTTCTCTCAAATTAAATTGTGAAAAAAGGAGGCTCGGCTAATACACACAATATTGGGGAGCATGAAATCCGAGTACCTTCCAAACACATCAATAATTTTGGGCAGCATCAATGACAAACTAAATATGTAAACACACACACACACACACACACACACACACAATTTCCTAATAAACAGAACACAAAGAGTAGTAGTAAACAGAGTAAAGTGTGAGGCGGCTGCGGTGAAAAGCTTGGAGGACACTCGAATTTGCTCGAGTGTCCTCCAAGCGGACATCAACCAAATTTTTAAATGGGCCACAGAAAACAATATGAAGTTCAGTGATGAGATTTTTCAATTACTCCGATATGGAAAACGTGCGGAAATTAAGATTACATCGGAATGTAAAACAAATTCCAACCACACAATAGAGCGAAAAACTAACGTAAAATACCCGAGAGTGATCATGTCAGAGGATCTCACCTTCAAAGACCATAACATTGTATCAATAGCATCCGCTAGAAAAATGATAGGATCGATAATGAAAACCTTCAAAACTAGAGATGCCAAGCCCATGATGACACTCTTCTATCTAGGCTGGAATATTGCTGCACACTAAGAGCACCTTTCAAGGCAGGTGAAATTGCTGACCTAGAAAATGTACAAAGGACCTTCATGGCACACATAACTGCGATAAAATACCTCAGTTATTGGGAATGCTTGACGTTCCTAAACCTGTACTACCTAGAATACAGGTGGGAGAGATACATGATTATATATACATGGAAAATGAGTGTTCAGTGGTCAGTCGTGACGTGAGGTTACAGACCCTGAGCTGCTTCAGGGATTAGCGTGGACGGTTACAAAGCATGGTTTGCTTCTGCAGTGTTTTAAAAATTGAGGTTGGAGAGTTGAAGGAGGAGATCTTCCTTCTCCAGGAGGAGATTAGGAGGCTGAAGGTCCACCTCAATGGGTCTGGGAAAGAGTGTGAGGTGGCTGGAGTTGTGGGGAATGAGGCTTCTAGCAGCGAGGTGCAGTCTGTCTCTCGCTGTGAGGAGGCTGTAGGTGGGGAGGTAGCAACGGCTACCAGCAGTGAGGTGCAGTCCAGCACCTGCTACAAGTGGCGAGTGGTAACCAGTAATGGGAGGAGAATCAGAATAAGGAAAGTTAAGAGTGAAGATCTGAAGGTAGGAAATCGCTTCTCTGTTCTTCAGGATGAATGTACTTCAGTGGCCAGTGAAGGTAAGGGTACTACTGCCCCTGCTAACAGAGGTAAGCGATTCTTGTGGTTGGCGACTCTCAGGTAAGATATATTGACCGTGCTTTTTGTAATAGGAATAAGAAGATGAGAGAGAGTGTGCGCTTCCCTGGAGCTGGTGTTGGGGAAATAGTTAACAGGCTGGATAATATGTCAGGTAATGGGAACAAGCCCATTATTTGTCTCAGTGCTGGTGGAAATGATATTGGGAAGGGTAGGAGAGAAGAGCTGCTAGGTAAGTACAGGTCAGCTATAGATTTCATTAAGTCTAAGGGAGGGGTCCCAATCATATGTAGCATATTGCCTAGAAGGGGAGTAGGAAATGAATGGTTGTCTAGGGCAATTGGTGTAAATTGCTGGCTAGACAGATACTGCAAGGAACTTGCAATCCCATTCATTGACAACTGGAACAACTTTTATGGCAAACATGATATGTATGCAAGGGATGGGGTACATCTCTCTGGGGCTGGGGTGGTAGCACTTGCAAACTCAATTGAGAAGGCCATTGGTGAAATGCCTATGATTTTAAAATGATAGAAATAGAGGTATGGGTGTGTGTGGGAAACAAGCAGGTTGCAACACTACGGTTGGAATCAGTAAATGTATAAAAGGCATTCAGCATGAAGTTATAAAGACAATAGATCAGGTCAGCAAACAAAGGGGGACAGCAGAGGACAGCAAGGGACTAGCTCCCTTAAGGTTTACTATACTAATAGCAGGAGTGTAAGAAATAAGATAGATGAGGTAAGATTAATTGCAAGTGCAGGAAACAGATATTATTGCTATAACAGAGACCTGGCTCAATCTGAAAGATAGAGAGATGCCCTCTGAATGTCACATACAAGGCTATAAATTATTCCACACTGACAGGGTCAACAGTAAGGGTGGTGGAGTAGCGCTGTATGTCAGAGACAATTTAAATTGTTGTGTTAGACAAGATATAAAAGTAGAAGCGTCAGCCACTGAATCTGTTTGGTTACAGCTTCTCGAGGGCCGAGAAAAACTAATTTTGGGTGTGATTTACAGAGCCCCAAATCTTCATAGGGAGTGCAGTAAACTTCTATGGGACGAAATTCGTAAGGCATCTACATACGAAAATGTTGTGCTAATGGGAGATTTCAACTATAGACAGATTGACTGGAGCAATTTGACAGGAAATTTAGAGTCAGGTGACTTTCTTGATACGATCCAGGATTGTTTTTTAAAACACAGTTTGTGACAGAGCCAACTAGAGGAAATAACCTCCTTGACTTGGTTCTTGCCAGTAGGGAAACACTAATTAATAATCTTGAGGTTAATGATGAGCTTGGGGAAAGTGATCACAAATCACTCGGTTTTAATATATCATGGAATTCCCCTAATAATGGCAATCAAGTCTCCGTCCCTGACTTTCGCTTGGCTGATTTCATAGGACTGAAAAATTACTTAGGTGGGCTGAACTGGAATGACCTGACTAAGGGTCAGGTAGATGGTGATGGTTGCCGATATGATGCTTTCCAGGGCATAGTTCTAGCTGCTCAGTCAAATTATGTTCCAAATAGGAAAATCAGATCAAACAAAAATGATCCTAAATGGATGAACAATAGATTAAAATATCTGATTGGTCAAAAGAGAGGTATATATAGGCAAATCAAAAGAGGAAAGAGCAATTAAGAAATCGATATATTCAGATAAAGAGAAATAAAAAAGGGAATTAGAAAAGCAAAGAGAGATTATGAGGTTAAAGTTGCAAGAGAATCGAAGACTAACCCAAAAGGATTCTTTCAGGTATACAGAAGAAAGATCAGGGACAAGATAGGCCCACTCAAAAGTTCCTCGGGTCAGCTCACTGACAGTGATAAGGAAATGTGTAGAATTTTTAACACACACTTCCTCTCAGTTTTTACACAGGAGGATACCAGCGATATTCCAGTAATGATAAATTATGTAGAACAGGACGATAATAAACTGTGCACGATTAGGGTCACAAGTGACATGGCCCTTAGACAAATAGATAAATTAAAACCTAACAAATCCCCAGGCCCTGATGAACTGTATGCAAGGGTTCTAAAGGAATGTAAAGAGGAGCTTAGCAAACCTTTGGCTAATCTTTTCAACATTTCACTACAAACTGGCATGGTGCCAGATAAGTGGAAAATGGCAAATGTGATACCTATTTTCAAAGCAGGTGACAGGTCCTTAGCTTCGAACTATAGACCAATAAGCCTAACCTCCATAGTGAGAAAATTTATGGAATCAATAATTGCCGAGGCAGTTCGTAGCCACCTTGAAAAGCATAAATTAATCAACGAATCTCAGCATGGTTTTAAAAGGGGCGTTCCTGCCTTACGAATTTATTAACTTTTTTCACTAAGGTATTTGAGGAGGTAGATCATGGTAATGAATATGATATTGTGTATATGGACTTCAGTAAGGCTTTCGACAGGGTCCCACATCAGAAACTATTGAGGAAAATTAAGGCACATGGAATAGGAGGAGAAATTTTTTCCTGGATAGAGGCATGGTTGACAAATAGGCAGCAGAGAGTTTGCATAAATGGGGAGAAATCAGAGTGGGGAAGCGTCACGAGCGGTGTTCCACAGGGGTCAGTGTTGGGCCCCCTGCTGTTCACAATCTACATAAACGACATAGATGAGGGCATAAAGAGCGACATCAGCAAGTTTGCCGATGACACCAAAATAGGCCGTCGAATTCATTCTGACGAGGACATTCGAGCACTCCAGGAAGATTTGAATAGACTGATGCAGTGGTCGGAGAAGTGGCAGATGCAGTTTAATATAGACAAATGCAAAGTTCTAAATGTTGGACAGGACAATAACCATGCCACATATAAACTAAATAATGTAGATCTTAATATTACGGATTGGGAAAAAGATTTAGGAGTTCTGGTTAGCAGTAATCTGAAACCAAGACAACAGTGCATAAGTGTTCGCAATAAAGCTAATAGAATCCTTGGCTTCATATCAAGAAGCATAAATAATAGGAGTCCTCAGGTTGTTCTTCAACTCTATGCATCCTTGGTTAGGCCTCATTTAGATTATGCTGCACAGTTTTGGTCACCGTATTACAGAATGGATATAAATGCTCTGGAAAATGTACAAATGAGGATGACAAAGTTGATCCCATGTATCAGAAACCTTCCCTATGAGGATAGACTAAGGGCCCTGAATCTGCACTCTCTAGAAAGACGTAGAATTAGGGGGGATATGATTGAGGTGTATAAATGGAAGACAGGAATAAATAAAGGGGATGTAAATAGTGTGCTGAAAATATCTAGCCTAGACAGGACTCGCAGCAGTGGTTTTAAGTTGGAAAAATTCAGATTCAGGAAGGATATAGGAAAGTACTGGTTTGGTAATAGAGTTGTGGATGAGTGGAACAAACTCCCAAGTACAGTTATAGAGGCCAGAACGTTGTGTAGCTTTAAAAATAGGTTGGATAAATACATGAGTGGATGTGGGTGGGTGTGAGTTGGACCTGATAGCTTGTGCTACCAGGTCGGTTGCCGTGTTCCTCCCTTAAGTCAATGTGACCTGACCTGACTAGGTTGGGTGCATTGGCTTAAGCCGGTAGGAGACTTGGACCTGCCTCGCATGGGCCAGTAGGCCTTCTGAAGTGTTCCTTCGTTCTTATGTTCTTAAAATCCTAGAGGGATCAGTACCAAACACGCTCACGAAAATCACTCCCTA